CACACACACTCACACACACACACACTCACACACACACACTCACACACACTCACACACACAGGCTAAGCAAGTCCTGAATACCATCTCTCAACTGTTTGATTCAATGATTGTTATTAAGCAGTGAAACCTACACCAACCGTGCAGTTTATTGTGCTTCTAAAAAATGTAAATGCCACTTTTTTTTTGGTCTTTAAAAATTATGAAGCAGAAAGAAAGATAGCAATTGCCAGTGTTTGCTTGGATGGCGAGATGCAGGAGAATTAGCATTACTCTTGAGAGCTGCCATTGGTTAGCTGGAGGGAAAAAGGATATCAATTATACATAATCTAAGAAGCCTCTGCATAATAATCAGGCCCAGTAGGGGCTTTGGGGCAGCTTCGTTATTCTCTTGTAAACACAAGAGCCCAGATAGACATGTCAGTAAGGAGTAGCAGCCCGATTCTTCCTTTTTAACACCTTCACGTTCTGTTGCTTCCATATGCAAACAAGGCTGGTTAGCTGAGGATAGAGCAGTGCTAATGAGCTCCCTGCACTAACCCTGAAGTAAAAAGGTTGTTTCCCAGCTGCTCAGAGACAGCTCCTCTGGGCATGCTCAGGTATTGGAAAATAATGCCTTTAAACAGAGAAATGCCAGTCAGGATTTTGTGCATACTTTCCCTTTTCTCTATGTGCTAATGCAATTACCTCATAACTTGTGAACTTCCACGGCGTTTGTCTGGTGTTCTCTCTCTACACGATATATTTGGAATGTGGATGTGGAAAGAGAATGTGTGAGAAAAGAACGTAGAAACTGTAAAGATGGGCCCTGTCCTTCATTCCTAGAGGACGCCATCTCGGCCAGCGATGGTGTTTTGCCTTCAAGGTGGACCTGTACTTTTATCGTTGTCTTTATTTTCCCCCAAATATTATTATTCCTTTTCTTTCCTGGGGTCACTTTAATGACCTGAATGGACAATGCAGATCAGGACCGGGCTTCTCAAGCCGGAGGGTTTGTGTCCAACCTATGTGGTTTGGGAGCTGTCGTCAGTCCTGGCTCCCGGCACCACTACAAGGAGGGGCAAAAATGCACAGGACGGAGGAGGAGGAGG